CCCCACAGCGCACACACACACACACACACTCGAACAGGCTCATTTACAGTCTTGTCGTACTGCACCCGCTCACACACTCATTTCTCAACGCACCATTAATACTTTAGTGAGTGTGATTCTACTGAGGAGTCAGTTCATTCATGCGCGCCACACTAGGAGGCTTTGCATGCTATTTCTGTCTCACACTAAAACTAATTGGTGTTAGTTGAGCTCAACATTAGTTTTTGTTATTCTGATGCTCAGAGTGAAGGAAATGCATTATTAATACAGAACCCAATTTTGAATTTCAAATATTTTTAAGAGGAAGCCTGCTTTGTAAGCTGGTGGTGAGGGGTTTGAAAGACGAGGGTGTTTAGGAGGCAGAGAGGGTCTAATTAAAGGACCATGTTGCATCATGGGAAATGTAGGATGCAATGTTTTTGGAATTTACTGGACAGAATATCTCAGCCTCTGCTGTTTTAATTTGACCATTCTTTATTTTAATTTTAATGCCCCCTTTATAAAAGCACTAAATTGCTTTAGAACACTGAAACATTGACTGGTATTCAGAACTCAGGAATATGTGTTGGTGGTGGAAAAAGTAGATTCACCTACATCCCGAGTTGGGATTGTTAGACTTTCGCTCTCTAACGGATGACTGGACCTAAACCATGTGTGCACACAGCTGCAAGAGCCCCTCACTGTGGAAAGAATATGTGTTGGTGTTTTCATTGAGTTCATTCCTGAATTAATGTAATAAGATTTAATAACCTAATTATTTTTGCGTGAGATCAGATCAAAATGCATTTGAATGTCAGTACTGGTGCCATAATGGAGGCAGGTACTTTCTGGCCCTGCGATGGCTAAAAAAAGCCTCTTATTTTATTAAAAGGTGATCTAATGGACGATAATGAAAGCGAGGCTGTCTAATACCTCCTCTGCTCCCCTCTTTGTTTCTGCAGTAGGTGGAAATTGGCCCTCGTATTTGCAGCCCAGTTCTCATGCTGCACGACTGCTCTCTTCATTAAAAGGGAAGCCGCGTGCTCAAAGCTGCTTCAGATTATTACCATATGTCTGCAAAGCCCAGAGCTGAGCAGCAAACCAGCTCCCATCCTACCCTCTAATTTCTTATCCCAAAATTGGACATGTGGGTCGTTGTGTGTGACAACGTCCCTCCCTTCCCCCGGGCCGGTGCAGTACATTCTCACAGTATTTCTTCTCCCATTTTAGATGCATAATAGCAGTGCATCAGCCTTTTAGCGACACCGGGGAAAATATTATGCCTCGACTTGAGATATTTAACTGCATGTTGTTTTAACCCTTCAGCTAGTTTTGGAAGATATTAGAGAAGTAGAGCGCACATTGTCCCAGATAAGGATCTTTATGAGGGGACTCCTTTTGGTCATTGCTGTTTCTCATCTCCAAGAGGCCAATGTGTGCATTGTACCTCCACAGAAATAACTGAGCTCATTCACCACAGAGCTGGTGCATTCATAAAAAGGAATAAATCTGTCAAGAGACATAAAGGGCGCGGGCACTAATTAATGCAGAAAAATGTCAGCCTTTTACAGTTTGCGCAAAACATAAAGAAAGTCCACTCTGGATGTAGGAGGAGGTTTAAAAGAGATCTTTGTGTCACCCAGTCCAAAAGCCATTGGCCCAGATTGCCTGTCCCAGCATGCAACTCACCTCTGCATGAATACAACACTTGTCTGATGGTGTGGGCAGAAAGCCCCCCTATCGCCAGGAGATCCTACACAGGGCTTTAACATGAGCAGCTTGCCTCGCACACAAGTTTGGTACAGTTTGAGAAACTTTGCAATGGATAAAGCCGAGGCTCAGGGAAGGCGACAGCAGAGGACGTTTTACTTGTTGGTGGAGATAAGTTTGCAACACCTTTTGGCAGTTGGGCGTATGTAATGTAATCAGGAATAGCTCTGTTAAATGGATTAGAACAGGGCAGCATTTGGTGTTTCACAGCATTTGGTGGGTGGCTTTCAGTGGATGATTAGTGGAGAACTGAAATCTACAGAATCAACAGGAAGAGGCATCAGAATTAAGGCCGAAAGGACATGTTTTTCGTCCTTTTAGTCGTATCACCTGTTACCAACTTAAGGCCTGCCTGTTAAAACCTGGATGGCAGCGTTAAAGCTTATTCCAGGTTTAGAATCAATAATATGGTTCCCTGGAGATGTAATGGATTATACTTGGGGGAAGTCTGCTTGCTCACTTGGACCGGCCTTCAAGTAGAATCAGACTTGGACAGAAGGTTCAAAGCAAAGTGTTTTGAGGCTCAGCTGAATGAGGTAATTGTGCAGGTGCTGGCAGTTGGCAGAGTTTAAAGTTGACTTGAGTTAGGCTGGCAAGATTTATGTTTTAAAGATGATTATTGAGAAGGGTGTATTGATTGTCTGCAGAAGGTCAGATTATGATTACTTGTGGGGGGTCAGGGGGCTGCTTAGACATATCGGTTCCACAAGTAACACTGTGGGATGAGTTGGGTTTTAGGGGGATGATTTGAACAGTTAGGTTAAGTATTCATTAGTTAGCTGGTTGAAGAACTCACAATGTTCCTGTACTGGAAGAAGCGCGGAGCCTATGAGCTGGAGGCGCTGCCCTCTTCTCTCACTCAATTGGGAATAGAGCGCTACTCCTGGTCCTCATCCCTGGACGTCATCCATGATCTGTGTGGTAAGCTGTGGAACTAGGATGACCTGACTAAATGGTGGATTTATGTTTGGGTTTGTGTGTGTGTGTGTGTGTGTTTTCTCATAATGAAACAGAAAGCTCGGAAGTGGATTGTTTTTTGTTTATCAGTTTTAGCCTCAGATGCCACAACAGATTTTAAACCATACAGGAATAAATAGGTTAATAAAAGATCTTTAAATGTACATGGTAGGTTTTAGTTTTTTCTGAATTAACTAATCCTATTTCTCCCATCAGATAGTTTTATTGACTCGGGTACACATAGTGCAGAGCACCAATGTATGTTATGCTGGTATTTCCACTCTGTTTCCTCTCCTCCACCTGCTGTATACATTCATAGTACTCATTATATACAATTATTTCTCCCCCTTTGTAAACATCACTGACCGAATACCTGTAAATGGAATGACATCCTCATCAGCCTCAGCTTTGTGTTTACTGCTAATTAGAAAATAGTAGCTTGCTAACTCGCTAAACTAAGATGGTGAACATGATAAAAATTACACCTGCTTAACATTAGCATGTTAGCATTGTCATTGTGAATATGTTAGCATGCTGAAGTTAGCATTTAGCTCAAGTAGAGTCACACAGAGCTGCCAGCGGGGCTGCAGCCTCCTCTGGTTTTCATGGTCGGGAAAGAAGTAACAAGCTGTAAACTTGGTGGAGTTTTACCTATGATATCATGTTGGAAATCTCTCTATTTATAACATGAGCATTAGTCAGCATAATGGAAAAAGCAATATGTGTAGACCACTAACTCTCATCCTTATTCATCATGATGGGTGATACTGGTGATTTAACATGGACCCGACATGACTTCACATTGTTCTATGTAACCTTTGTGCAAGTAGATGATCTGGTTCACTTGTACTTTTGAGCTAAGAGTTTAAGCACCATCATGGAAAGGGTTTTTTTTTCCATTGCTGTGTTCTTCCGTGGAAAGCACTCAGTGACCTGGCATGAAGACAACCTCACATGAGAGAGAAGAGAGGGAAAGAGCGGATGAGACCGGCTCCACAGATGAAATATTTACCACTGAAGAAGTGCATAGCTGAACTGAAATGCTTCCCTGTCTCCTCTCAGTGCTTTTTTGACGTGGCACAGGGGCACTTGCTTTCCGCTGTGCCGCCCGATTTATGCCATTAGCGAAGGGGAAGTGATAACACAGGGCTGGGGAGGAATGTTCTTCATCCTCTCCTCTCTGCCAGCCAGACTCTTGGAAATCCGGCTACTTTCTGGTCAGCTTAAGGACGGTGCCTGCTGAGGCAGACCTGTTTGGCAGAGACCGAAAAGAGGAATGCCACAGAGGGAACAGTGAGGCTTTGATCCTTACCTTTTCACCATCTCTGTAATTAAGCCCCATGCAAGCCTGCACTGAAAACATTTCCCTAACTCTGTTGGAGCATCTGAGTTTAAAGATACTTTCCCTTTCTACAAAAACAGAATCAGTTCTCAGAATCAGTATTGGGAAAGTCACAGCTGCATTCCCAGTCATGTAGCACCATAAATCTGCAGTACATCTGTGCTTCAGGTAATAATTCAAAATGTGCAGTTGTGTCCTTGTGAAGGATGAACAGCAAGGCCGGAGGTGTACAGACCTGTGAGTCCTCTATGTACTTTCATTGTTCAGCTAGCAACCGATCTGTTTGCGTGCTTTTTGTTCAGCATCATCAACAGTGACATGCCTAAAACCATGCCTCACAAGCCAGCACAATACAAACAATTAATCAAGGTGTTGTTGCTTTCCTTTGTCATATGATAGTTTACATAATATCTTGTGGTTTTGAACTGTTGGTTCGACGAAACAATGATATCTTGTGTGAGTTGTGGGCTCACCAGAGCCTGAGTATGATCACATTATCCCCAATAAGATGTGACAGGTTGGGTTCCCACATTATTTGTTTCCCAAAAATCTCTTAAGAAAAGGGAAGACAGCTGCATGCTGTTAACTCAGGCAGACACCAGTTAAAGGGAAAACCGGGAGTCATACGCAAAATTCACACAAGGTATCTTTGGGCTAGGAATAACGTGGATTTAGATATTAATCAAGAAAACGCAATTCGATAATTAAAACAATTGTTAGTTGAAGCCCTTGGTCATTTCACTGGCCATACAACAATATTTTTATTTTTATTTAAGTACAAATATGAGAAGATTTTTACGTTTATTTGTATTTTTCTTGCACATCATGTCAACAACAACAATCACATCAATACCATGTTAATTTTACACATTGTATTAACATTGATATGAAAAGTTGATCACCACCACAAGGGCAACAAGCCTGCCTTTTGCCTGCATGTGGACTGGGTGTTCACCGCTCAAGGAAAGCTTTTGATGAATTGTCCAACATGAACAAAATGAGGTTGTTTGGTGAGTCCTAATTTGGGTTTGAGTAGAATTTCAGTCCATGGCTTCATCCCAGCTCTAACCTCCTGCTGTACACTGCGTTCACTAGGCCAGTCCAAAATATCCCCAGTGTACAAGCACACACACTAGGCATTCCTCAGGTCATAGTCAGCCACGGGTTCCAGTAACATGCTCCTGTTTTGCTTGGAGTTTAGCGCCAATAAAGCCCATAAAAAGAACAGTCTGACACAAAAGGCCATGCTATTATATAATAATCAGCTTGTACTTGACAAATTACTGTACTTTCTGACATAAATGCCCTGAAAAATTCAAGATATGCAGATAATCCCCTCATGACCTCTCTTAAATATGGTGACAGGGTATTGAGTTTTCAGCTAATAGTCTACCTTCATGTAACAGCCATGTAGACCCCATATACTTAAGGAAGCTGTATTTTTTAAACTGTCATTAAATAATTCCAAAATATGTGAGCAGAATATATCTGTTATTTGTTGTTCTCCATCTTCTGAATTGGAAATTGGTGACTGCTCCTCCACCCCGCTCTGGAACAGTTTACATTTGTTGTCCTGTGGTTTTCAGTTTCATACATGGGGGGAGCTTGGGTTGCTCAGATGTGGTAGAGGAGGGAGAAAGATGCAGGGAGGGGGGTTAAGGGAGTGTGTGATGCACATGTGTGTGATTTAACCACTATGGGGGTAAAACAACATTAAGCAGGAGGGCTGCGTCCTACCCCCGCTGCCACTGAACCCTCAGCATTAGAAACAGATGCAACCTGCTCGTGTTTTAACGTCCGCTCAGTTGGTCCGGACTCAGTCACCTGTAGAGGAATACTGTGGGGTTTCAGCAGTGAAGGTTCAGGTTGTTATTCCCTGAACGGAGCCTTTTAAGTGTTAGTGTTCACCAAGTGAGATTTGTTGGAAAAGCAGTGTTAAATATAGATAGCTTGTTCTGTAACTTTTCCAGAAAGCTATAAATAATCAAATTCTGTCATCAGAAAGTTTGTAGTAACACTCTGCTCAGGTTGTCACGATGGACTGAACGAACTGTTGACACACCACAGCAAATCATCTGTCTCACCTGTCGCCTGCTGTCTGCATCCCAGCCTGACAGCCTGTCTTTCCAAAAGTTACATTAATACCACTCTCACATCTGTCCAGTCAATGTGGAGCTGCAGCTGCCAGGAGACACTTAGCTTAGCTTAGCATAAAGAGTATTTCTTGGCCAGGAGCAGTGAGTCTCTGCTTGTTTCCTGGCCAAGAAATAGTTTGACACATAACCCTTCTTAAAACTACAGCTTGTTGTTTTTACCCTTTTGTGAACCTTGGACACAACTTTGCTAGCTGTTTCCAGTATTTATGCTAAGCTAACTGTCTCCTGGCTCCAGTTTTATACTGACCGTACAGACATGGGAATAAAATCAATCTTCTCATCTACTACTCAGCAAGAAATGTAATACTGTACTAACTATTCCTTTCGATTTGCTTTCCCATTAACAGAAGCTCTAATGGTGTAAGAAACCACTACGGAAGCCTTGAGATGCAAATGAGGACAAAATATTGTCTCTGATCTAAATAGTTTTCTCTGCTGTTTTTATGACTTAAGAAAATGTTTAAAAAAAAGTTTTGCCAGGAAAATCTTTCTAGAGTTCCCTAATTCTTCATCTGTGAAACAGGTGAAACCTGTTTCCACCTGCGAAACAGCTGGGGGAAAAAAAAGGTTTTGGCAGTTCATTTCAATTTTTTGTCAGGGTCATTTTTCAAAGTATTTGTTCTTATGATACTTATTCTGGCCACAAGAGGCTGACGTGCACTAATGTCCTATGTTCTAATAAATAGGACTAAAAACATTCATGTTTCTATAACTATATAAAAAAAAGAATCCTTGCAAAATGTCATTTTTACACCTTTTACACAGGAGAGAAAACAATTTAGAAAATGAGCACCAGATCTTTTTCTCACTTGCTTCTCAGTCTCAGAGCTTCCGTAAAGCACTGGGCCAAATCGTAAAATTTGTTTCTATGAATCGGTTAATTAAAACTATTTTAAATTCCTTAAATTGCTGTCAATCATTGTTAGACCATAACTATTTGTTTTGATACTATTTGATATAACAATACTACAGCATTGACAGTCATAACCTTCACATCTATATTTATGTAATCTCTGTAAAATGTATTTGGGAGACAGTGGAAATGTAGTTTCTTGCTCAGGCTTGTTGATCTGTCCATCTATTAACCAGACCCTCCTGATGGGCCAAATATCCCTACTTTCTTTCCTTACCTTCTCCCCTACTCATTCCACATTTATGTATTGTAGGGTCTCACTTTCCTGCCTGCCTGCTACCCTGCATGTGCTGATATGGCTACCTCTTTGCCAGGTTTCCCAGTCCGTATGCCATCCCGCCTGCCTGCCATCTGTGTTCGTCTCTGAGGAGTCTTTTCACAACTATCTCCTCCTGGCAGGGAGGTGCATGTCAAATTACATACAGCTCTGAACAACGTGAAGGTGAGGAGAGGAGTCGAAGCCTGAGCAAACAAAAAGAATAATCTCACGCCCCATGTGCCATGATGCGATCTCACCAAATAGAAGGCAGAGTGAAGCATTCTTAACATTCCTCATAAAAACGTGTGCTCGGCTTGGCCTTGCCCCGCCTAAACATGGAGTTCTGGTGAGGCTCGGAGGGAGGCGGAGGTGTGAGAGGAGATGAAGAGTAAGGCATGATGCGGTGATGGAAGACCTGATGGAACTTGTTTGGCAGTTTGATATTGGATTGCATCTCGGACCAAAAGTGTGCAGATCTTTAGCCCGAGCCCTGCACCGCGCTACTTGCTGCACCTGTCAATCTTTCTGGCACTTGATGTATGCGATTTACAATAAGTGGCAAATTTACTCAGAATCTAAAGGAATATTTGAAACAATGGTTACTTGTCTTCAGACAATAGCAGGCCTCTCATTTTTAGTCTACAACAGTCGATTTTTTTCCAGCTGTTGATGGCAGATTTTATCAGTTGTAGCTAGCCAGAGTTTTAGTGAACTCTCAATTATTTGTACGAGGATTTCTGGATTTTCATCCAGGTGTTAGAGTTGCTAAGTCTGTGGTAGTACAGTTGTGCTCTTGTTTAAGAAGAAATTATCATGTACACTTATCCAGTCAGTGACATAATTTATAGATATATGTATATATAGACATATTCTTTAAATGAAAGAAAGTAATGAAAATGTCCCATAGCAATTTACCAGTACATGAGGTGACCAGCAATGAATCTATAATAATATAAAATGGAGAAAAACACAATTTATCACCTTTAAAAAAAAAAAGCTGTAAGCCACAAAGTTTTGGTGTTTCTTGCTTTAATAAATGACTTTGACACATGTTCAATAGACTGATGGTTTCAGCACTGGAACACTTTTACATTTCCCTCACAGCTGACAGCTAAACAAGGAAGGAAAGTGCATCTTCAAGAAAAGAAAATGCAAGAACAATGACTAATTTCTACTTTAAAACCATGTTTGTAGTTGCATTATGGTCACAGAATGAGGTAGCAGAGATTGACAAGCTGAAATACTTTGCACATCTTGCGTGTGTTCAAGTCTGCATTGTTTCGAACTTGCCCCCGCTGCTCTGGCTTATTTATCGGTGCCTAATGGGTCTTTGCCCCAGGCAGTGTCTCTTTGTGGTGAGCAAGCCAGCAGAGAGCAGCGTAGATGGGATGCTCCACTGTCTCTTTAGTGTGCAAGCTCATTGTCTGCTGTCACGTGTGTTTGTGTATAGTGTGTGCTTGTGTTTGCTTTTGGCTTAATCAGCAGTGCTGAGTTCAGGAATTCCAGTTCATCAGAGAGAAAAAGAGGGAGAGTCAGCAAGATATGAGCAAGTAGTAGAGAAGATGGATCTTCAGCAGACAATGGAGTGATTTCACGATACAAAGTAAAGGTCAAGTAGTAAGAAGGGGGCTGAGAGTTTGAGGGGATAAGGAGAGGCTTGAGTAGCATTGAGGTTGTGGCTCGATTAGGGTCATCACTTTTTTAAAATCAAATTTGAATGAAAGAAAAGTGACGCGTCATGTAACACCGGTTCATGTGTGTTGCCTCCGCTGCCCCTTTTCTATGACAAGATAAAAGATGACGTGTCAGATTTGTTGTCATGATACGTGAAGAAGTTGTAGCAGAAAGCCTTACCTTTCTCCATCTATTGTGTCAAATCCAAAAAGCTTCCACACACGAATAGTTAAGAGGATGGTGGCTGTAGAGCTTATATATGTACTTCTTTATTCTGACTGACCATTGCAAGTCAAATCTTTATACTTTCACATTTCAGTAGTTTGAATTTTGGATAAAAAGTGACAGCTGGGGTTGTGTTCTGATGGCTGGTTCTTTTAACTCCATTTCTGGCTTGGTAAAGTACGAACATTTATTTTAATGATCAGTTTTTGTGTTGAGTTTGAGCTCTTCAATCAGAATCAAATACTTTATTGATCCCCAGGGGGTAATTGGGTTAGGTTACCTGCAATAACTGATTTTGTGGCCACTTGGGGGCAGTGGACACAAACAAAATTGACATGTTATCACATTCTAAGTGAATATGGCAAAAAAACAGTTGTTTATTTACACATAAAGCAGATACAGGGCAACATTAGCATGTATTTGTTTATTTCCACCACGAATGTAAGTCATCTGTGAAGTCTCACTGTGGTAAAGGAAGTTCCGCCTCTTTGGGAAACACTCCATAAAACCCGGAGGCTCCCTCCGCAGCCTGCAGCTTGTAAACCCGATGGGAGCTGTTAGCTTGAGGCCCGCTGGCAGAGGCCACGGTTAGAGCTGAGAGCGCGCACCACAGCAAAGACATGGAGGAGACCTTTTTTTCCCGGAAGGTGGTGAAAGTTTGACAAAATGCATTCTGCCTCAGTGGAATTGTTGAAAGGTGTTCAAAGGGGCTTTTCAGCCACGGTAGCGGGATGGCAGTGACAGTTGATCCACCACTTTGTTCCAGACTAAAATATATCTATATATAACATCAGAATGATTGGCATGAGATTTGAGAGATTTGGTACAAAGATGCAGTCCACAGAGGATGAATCCTAATGACTTTAGGTTTCTTCTAGCGCCACCAGCAGGTCAAGGTTTTGCTTATTCTGTGATGTATCTCAACATCAAGAATAAGCACGAAACGTTGTACAAATGTTCAATGCTCCCAGGTGATGAATCCTTTTGATTTTGTTGATCCCCTGACATTGCCTTTAGTGCCACCAGCAGGTTGACATTTTTGGCTTTTAGTGAAATGTCTTGACAACTATTAGATGCATTACAGTGCTGTTTGGTACAGACATCCATGTTCCGCTCAGGATGAGTTGTAATATCTTTAATGATCCTTTCACTTTACATATAGCACCTTCCTCAGATCAAAATGAGTTATTTCATGACAAATACTTGAAAAACTAAAGACTAAATACCCATCAACACCAGCCATACTTTGTGTTGAATGCTTATTATCAAATGTTAGCACTCTAAACTAAAAATTCTGAACACAGTGAACATTAAACCTGCTAAACAGCATGTTCATGTCCATTGCAAGTTAGCCTTTGGCTCAAAGCACTGCAGTGCCTAAATACGGTCTTGTAGAGCTGCTAGCGTGGCTTTGAACTCCTAGTCTTGTTTTTACTCCCATTGAGCAAATTCATTGCAGACAGGTTGACCCTCCCCTTCCCAGTGGGGAAGCCATGGGCTCTGTGGTATGCACCAATTAGTGTTTTCCCTCTTCCCCACAAGCACCCTTGACCTGTGAGCGTAGCTGTAGCCAAGTGGATGACTCAAGGTGACTTGGTTCCATACACCGGCTCAGAGAAGGGCCTGGGCTGTTGTACCATCGCTTTCATGGTGACAAATTATTGTTTGAAGTTGGCCTTAAAGTTTAGCCACTAAGTGACTTCATTTTCTAGCGGCGGCGCGTCTCCATTACTGATGATTTAGTGATGATATTACATGCGTGTCTCGTCCAAAAAAGGGAGAGGTGACATTACAGCGAGCAGGTTATCTGATCTTGCTGGAAAGGGTTTACTACAAAGTCCTGTCATGCTCAGAAACTAGAGACTTTTTGCAGCAAGCTCCATTACCGTCTGTCCCGCCCCCCCCACCTCTTCCCTGCTCTTACTTTCTCCTTCCTGCACGTGTATTCTCTGTTTTTCTCATTAGGCAGACAGATAAATATTGGTGCGCCCGGGTTCTCTGTTATGATATCTTTATCGTGTGTTTACGTGTAGAAGATGTAGACGTAAACACTGCCTTTTATCATACCCTCCGTGCAGCATTGGCCGACTAGTCAAGTAGATTTTAGAGGTTTATTTGACAATGGTGATTTGTTATGGCGGAGTACAGCGAGCTTACTCACGATGAGAGCACTTTTGTACGAAAACCAGAATGGGGCTTCCTCTCATTTGCTCCCTTTTCTTCCCGTCTCTTTTGTCGTCATTCATTTCTCTCTGATCTCCTCCCAACAACACACCCCACCCTCTTCCCTCTGTTTACCTTTCCTTCAAGCAATGTCTTTAACCATAGTTCTTTTTTACATTTTATTACATGGCTTCTTTGTCCTCTATCACTGTGTGAGAGTGTTTCTCGTGCTCGTAGTCACTCTCCCTCCCCCTTTCTCACTCCGTCCTTATATAAACACATTCAGGGACTTCAGTCTTTGTGTCTACAATACGTTCTTACAGCTTTACCAAGAAGGGTGTGTTAATGGATGTGTTGCTGGCTGGGTGGCTGGTTTGGTGTTTTAGTGATAAAGAGAGATGTCACATTGACGTGTGTGTTCTGTTTCAGATGACAAGCCCGTCCAGGAGGAGGACTGGGTGGTGTGCCAGCACCCTGAGTGTCCTGAGCGCCGGAGGGCCTCTAAGGTAAGACCCTTAATCCTGCCAAGAAGGTCTGTGCAGGGACAGATTTCACCCGGGTAGCTCACGTGGTGTCACTGCAGTGGCCATGGGTTCGACTCTGGCCTGTGGCCATTTCTCACCTCTCTCACCCCCCCTTTCCTGTCACTCTTCAGCTGTCAATTAAAGACAGTAAAAGGCAAAAAAAATATTAGAAAAACTAAACAAAAAAACAACAACAGTGCAACAGTCAGTAGGAATTCTTAAAGAAGAAGTTTGACACTTTTTGGGTAAATTTGCTTATTAGCTTTCTGTGTGGGGAAATATTTACAAAAATGTCAAACTATTCCTTTAAGTTACAAAGCAGCTTTTCTTCTGACAAATCAGCCCAGTCATAGACCCAAAATATTGAATTCTGACAGTTGGGATCACTTGTTTTTTGTCACTATCTGCCGGCATTTAATGCCTTTTATTGGACAGTGGACAGTAGAGAGATGAGAGTGAACGAGGGCAGAGAGAGAAATATGGGAAAATTACATGTAACTAGGTCCCCGGCCGGACTCCACCCAGGAACGTTGTGATTGGAGCCACGTTTGTGTTCAAGTGACGAAAACCTCCAGCACCCATAGCAATTAGGATTTTCATCCATCTGAACACTAGAGCAAATCGTGTGACCTCGTTATAGAGTCACAAAGTCTGTAGAGACAGGAGGTCGCGGGGGTTGAATGGGTTAACGAAACGTCAGTTTGCCACGGTACACTTCTGTTCGTTTCCTGTGTCCTACCGACAGGCAACGTTGGTTTCTTTTCTCCATGACCACAATCGTTCCCAAATCTTTACCAAGTAGTTATTATTGCAACCATGATGACAAACGTCCCTGACCTGAACCAAGTAGTTATTTCAACCTAAACCATGATCTTTCCTTAACCCTAACCAAGTCGGTTATTTTGTGCCTAAAACTAACCAAACTTTAACCTTAAAATGCTTTCTTTTTTCTTTTTTTTTGCAACAATGATTTGAAATGGTTATGGGAGGTTAGAGACGTCGGAACAGCAAACACTTATACGTGTCGCTCTGAGAGCAATTACATACATCGTAGTAATTTGCAGGACTTGCTTGTGCTATCACGTGGCCAGCGCCTCACACCCTTAAGCCACCAGGACAGTGGCGTCCCCAGAAAATTCATATTCATGGAGGTGGCCATATGGGGCTGCTGAAAATCTTGGGATTGCACATTAAAACCTAAACCCGGTGGAGACTGGAGTATTACACGGTCAAAAGCACCTGGCTGGCTATGCATTTACTATTTTCACATTAACAATTATTAAAAATATATATTATACTTAAATGAATAGTAGCTAATGTAAAATCAGAAGCATATTATGTGACTAGCTATGGGGTATTATTGGGGGGGTCATGGCTGCCTCTTGGTGGCGCTACTGCACCAGGACATTTTAGAAAGTGTTGCTTAAACAAGAACTAAAAATAAAACGGCTTTAAAATGAAGACGCACACAGCTTAACTTTGTACCTATAACTCCTGTGATAGCTTATAAGCGTTTTCACTGTGCAATCTATTGCCCATGGCCAACTGCTGCTACTATTTGTGTTATCTGTTGTTGTGGATTCTTACTGTTTTTTCTCTTGTACATAGTGTTTATATTATTTTCTTTTTTTTCCCTACT